ACCAAAAATGTAGATTTTTAATATACAGTCTCCCTGCTTCTCAATGATTACGTATTTAAAAACATTTTTAAAATATTTTTTAGAGAGAGAAAGACAGAGTGTGAGTGGGGGAGGGGCAGAGAGAGAGGGAGACATAGAATCTGAAGCAGGCTCCAGGCTCTCAGCACAGAGCCCCATGCGGGGCTCAAACTCACGAACCAGGAGATCACGACCTGAACTAAAGTCGGATGCTTAACCTGACTGAGCCACCCAGGCGCCCCAAAATCATTATGTATTTTAAAAAACTCAGATGTTCCCAGAGACCAGATAAACGTGGGTGTCAGATGACATTGGTAGCCAAATGAATGGCAACAGAGACAAACAGATACCCCAATGTGTGTATAAGGTCTGACCTGGCTATGAACACTGTCCGAGCTGCTGTTTCTGCCATTTCTGGAATGGTCCACTTTAAACTCTAGGCCCGTCCTCTGGGAGACGTGATTGCACTAGGGGCAGACCCCTAATATTGACCTTTAGCTTCATGTGTCCCAGCCCTCGCATGGCCAGCACCCTATGGGTGAGGGCTGGGCTTGTCTGGTCACACTGTCCCCCTCCCACCCTGCATGCGGAAGGTGCTCACTAAATGCCTGCAGATGGAAGGTATAGCACAAGCCCTTTCCCCTCTGAGCTCCCCCAACAACACCACGCTGACTCCTCCCCATTCCATGCTCTGGGGGGTGGGGTGGCACGAGTGAGTTAAAAGCCCGCAGCTGGGGGCCAAATGGGACGAAGCCCAAGCAGCTGCATGGCTACTGCTAGCCCTGTGAGTCCACCTTCCTGCCCCTCGTGTAGCAAGGGACGGGGCTGGGGTGGCTGGGCTGGAGCTTGCTGTTCACCCTGATTTTTTTCTTTGGTCAGGTTGGAGAGGCTGAGGGTGGAATCCAAAACTGGGAGGAGAAGGAGGAGAAAGAGGAAGAGAAAGAGGGGGCAGTAGTGGCTGTCCTGATGGCTGAGGGGGCTCTGAATGCCCCTGGGGATCAGCTGTCCCAGAGGAGGAAGGAAGCCCGGGATGGGGGCCCCCAGGGGATCAAGTTGGAGTTACACCCGCTGCTGAACAGGTAAGGCAGGCTTTGTGGCCTTGCACCCGGCCTTGCTCTCTTGCCCCCACTCCCTCATCCAAGAAAGGTCAGAGCTAGCCTAAGACTTGGGCCCTGTTGGTTCTTCTGGCCTTAACCCAGTAGAGATTCTGGCTTCAATTCCCCCATCCTGTCCTAGCCTTTCAGGATCACTGACTCCAGTCACCGTGCAGAGGCCGTGCCTAAATCCCATCTCCTTATTTATACTTGAAGGGGTGGGACTTCCCTGCCAGCACCTGCTGCAGGTTCTGGGCCTGGGAGGGGCTCGCTGCTTCCTCCTGGCCTCTCCTATCCCCAGGTGGGCTCTATGGTTCTTCAAGAATGACCGCAGCCGAGCCTGGCAGGACAACCTGCATCTGGTCACCAAGTTTGACACCGTGGAGGACTTTTGGGCGTGAGTGTCTGTTGCTTGTAGAGGAGGCCAGAGCCAGGGGGGTCCTTCCTAGACCCTACCCCTCCAGGGAGCTGTTTCCTACACCGCTTTCCAGCCCTCCCTGCGACCTCTCAGCATTTGCTGAGGGCTGGGGCTTGGTGGGTTCTGCTTGGGGGTGGGGGTCACTGGGACTAGGATCTAGGCCCCCCTGAAAACTTCTTGGGGCTTAGGGAAGAGAGTCTCAGGGGAGGAGCTGAGACGCCAGAACAGCATGGAAGCTTGTGTGTGTGTGTGTGTGTGTGTGTGTGTGTGTGTGT